TTTGTCTGGACGGTTCAAAATTAAACAGTTAAAAAATTATTCACTAGGATTTTATGTAAATATGTTTCCTAGCAAAGCAATATACTCTATAATATACTATAATACTATAAAAATAATCTAAAATAAAATACTATATACATAGTATAATAGAATAATAGAAAAATAAATATGTCAGAAAAAAATGATCTGCTCCAACTGACAATAAAAATATTATATTATGTAAATTACATCAATGTTATCTATTTAAAAGTTTAAAGTTTGTCTAAGAATCTAAACACTTTTTTAAAGAACTCTATCATGCACAGCAAGGCAGAATTCATTTGGTCAAAATGCAGTAGAACATTTAATATTATGAAGCAGGACTACAATTTAAAATTCAATTCAGTTCAATTCAAATGTATTTGTATAGCGCTTTTCACAATACAGCAGCTTTACAGAAAGTGCATTTCAGAAATGTACATGAATTAATACATTTAGTTAATCATGTAATAATTTAGGGCATAACATATCGCCGGCGTTGAGTCGTCTCTATAACAAATTAAATGAAAAACGTCCATTTATTTATTAATTTTATTTTAAAATGTAATGTACTCCTGTGGCGTAAAGCTGAATGTTCAGCATCATCACTCCAGTCTTCAGTGTCACATGATCGTTCAGAAATCATTCTAATATGATGATTTGATGCTCAAGATACACTTATTTTGTTTCAAATGTTTAAAACAGTTGTGTAGCCTATTTTGTGGAACTAGAAAAACATTTGTTGGCATGTTTTTTCACTTTCAATAGAAAGTTAACAAGAACAGCATTTACAGTATTTGAAATTGTCACAAAAAATCATTACAGTCCCATTTGATCAACTTAATGTATCCTTGCTGAAAAAAGTACTAATCTGATTTGGACCTCTGATCAACGGAGTGTATTTTTTTTATTTATTTATATTTTATTGTAAATTAACTTTAAAATCAACTTCCCAATTTGTTTAGTGCTGACGTAAAAAAAAAGAAAAAAGGAAAAATCTGGTTGGTTTTGATATCTGGTTAACAACGTATCGGCAATGTATTTCACAATATTTCTTTTTAAATACACTTACATCACTTCGCACAACCCCCGTTAATCTGACTTCCTGTAATAGCGCTAAGCAATGGTACTCTAAGAAACATTGACAGTCTGCTTCTTCCTCTCCAACTCACACTTCCAGTTTCAACCTTCCATTCTCTCTAACAAACACCCTCAAAGGCAAACCCACACAAGTCTAAAGCCTGTGTGTGACCTCTGAAGGATTCCTCCAACAGCAGGAGAGAACGAGGGGTTTCCTGTCCTCTTCCCGACTCTCCCTACAAACCGGGATGCCTCTCATATTCCATCACCAACGGAAGAAAAAAAAATTCCTCAGCTCTTCAATTTGTCATCGGAAGAACTCCCCTCTTTCTTATTGATGTGTTTCTAGGTCAGCAGGCCTTTGTGGCTTTCAGCGGCCCCGACAAAGACACCCAGATGGGCCCACTCGAGATGGGGCCTATTGTGGTGGCGTTTCTATGGCGCCTTACAAATGAAACCTGCGGGTGCTATTAGCCTAGCGGGGGTGTTTCTGGGGCAGAATGAGATGTGTTGGGGGTGCATATCTCTGATGTAGAGACTCATATCCGTCACCCAAAAGGTGGGACATCTAGAGACTTCCTATCTTTTCTGATGCAGAGAGAAGCCGCCTCTTTTGGTGAAAGAATAATGCAAGTGGTGCTTTAAGCATGTGTGTGTGAGGCAGTGGGAGTGCAGCGAGTGTGAGTCAGTCACTCAAAGCTGCAGGGGAAATTTGGGTCAACACTTCTGCCCTCCTGCCTCCATATGTTTGCCGTCTGAGTCCCACTGATTCACAGTGGAACCGGTAATACAAATCTAGATTAAATGCGCTCTCGGGACACATCTATCATAGATATTCGATTTATTTACTGTTGCAGCAAATAATAACAGCTCGATTTTTCTCTACATAAATAGCCTACAACTTGGACCCTAACCTAAAAGGTGAAGTGTTTATAGTTCACTATTAAAATAGTTTCTTAAAGGGATAGTTCCCCCCAAAATAAAAATTTGTCATCATTTACTCAGCCTCATTTTGATCCAAACATGTGAGTTTCTTTCTTCTGCTGTAAACAAAAAGATGATATTTTAGTATAGTATTTTTTTTGTCCTATATTGAAGTCAATGGGTGCCATCAACTGTTTGATTACCAACATTCTTCAAAATATCTGAAGGACATGAATGAGGAAATGACAGATTTTTCATTTTTGGGTGAACTATCCCTTTAATACGCATGCAAAGACAATAACTAAGGCATACATGCACTGAAATATTTTTAGTTTTTTTTATTTCTGCATCCCAACACAGCAACACTGGCTAAACCAAATGTGTAATTTTGGGGGTAGAACTATCTTTTTAACCAACCAATAGTTTGGTGTAACTTGTAATGCAGAAATTACACACTTGACCTTTGTAAACATCTGAAAGAAAGAAAAAAAAAATGAAATAAACTTCTTTTACATAATGTGTTGTATAATAGATAACGTAGAACATACCATTTAGACAGATCATTTCCTTCTATTATAGAATAAACATATCTCTCTCACACACACAACAGTGGTATCTTTGTGGGTCACATGCTGAGGACGCAAATGACCTAGACAGGACTCCATAGATCATAAAGGACCATGACCAATCCAAGTGGAAAAAGGTCAAATGAATGCAAAGAATAGAAATTAGGATGTAAAAATACAAGATCCTCATGAATATATGTTTGAAAAATAATAAGCACCATCAAAAGAAATAATAATTGAATGAAAAAAAAAAGATATGGTGGTCATACTAGAGTGGCGACTTTCTTAACCTTATGTCAAAATAAATAAATGAATAATACTGAAGAGGAGCAACAAAGACCCTCAATTTTGAATCAGTCAAACTACTCTAAACTGCTGTTAAAATCACCATGTGTCACAATTTTTATTTTTATGGGATTTTTTTTTTTTTTTACAGGGTTTATTTTAAATTATTTATCTGTGCACTTTATTTTTTTAATCGTGTGCCCTCAAAATCTTTACTCAAAATAACTTCCCCTCCCTCTTGCAGCGACATCTCTTCTCTGATGACGTGTTTACCCGTTACTCACAAGAGATCCAATAGCAAACCACCATCCAATCAGTTACCAATGGACAAAATCAAGTCCCCCCAACTTGTTCAATAATCAAAAATAGGGAAAGAAAAGACATGCAACTTCTATTGGAAGGTTACATGCCAACTATGATAAAAAAAACAGCCTGCAATCAGAGGTATCATCATGAGCCATCAGCCTACTGATCCTTACATTTGTATTTTCATAAGCAACTAAACACACACAATTTACACTTTTTGTTAAATTCCATTGGCTTTGTACTGTACTCTGCATTTTTCAACATCTCTACAAAAGATGAATCTACATCTAATGAAAACATTATTTTTAATAATCCCTGTCCACTAGCCATTATGACATGCAAAGCAGTGGCTAAGAGAAAGAATATAGCCAGAAATAAGAATATCTTAATCCTAATGAAATGACGTGACATGATAGTATAAATAAATAGCTTCAATGCTTACCTACAAGTAGCAGAGTCCCAACTGCCAGACCACCACCTATATGGAAAAAAGTATATTTTAATAACATAAAATAATAATGTGTTTTTATATCCATAACAATCATAAAGGCTCAAATACACCTACATTGAAAAAAAAATACTCTTTTGCATATTATACCAGCTAGTATTTAGCATTATTATGTGCATTCACACACACGTCTGGTTCACGCCTAATACTCTACAAACTGTATATTCTGTCCCTTCACATTAATCCTACCCCTAAAACTATAATCATCGCACATATATATATATATATAATATATACTTTGGATTTAAAATAGCCCCACATCATCACATACCCTTCACCATACAGTACCTAGAGATTGGCATGGTTTATTTCAGTTAGCCTAATAGCTGTTTTGATGTGCATTGAGAGATGATTTTATGGAAAGTAACCCATATGGCAATCTATAGGTATGGTGAATTTTAAACACCAGGTCAAGGTATTATTTATGTACGACCAGTGTACGACACATTATTCAATCACAAAGAAAATTGGTGTCCTTAAAGGTTGGATTTTTTGCTCTTTGCTTTTTTTTTTTTTTTTTTTTTTTTGCTTTTTTTAAATAAAGGCATTAAGAACAATTTCCAAATGATGATTTTGTATTCCTCTTTTTTAGTCACCTGTAGCATGGGTGTGTTCACTTATGCTAAGCACTGTGTGTGTGTGTGTGTGTGTGTATAAATATATATGTGTATATATATGTATGTGTGTGTGTGTGTGTGTGTGTGTGTGTGTGTGTGTGTGTTATGTGTGTATATATATATATAACCCTTTTTATCAGTGTTTTTTTTGGTCGTTTTTTATACATGCCAGGATCAGGTAATCATAAACAACAACACGTATATATTTCATATATAACATAAAATGTCATATAATGCAAATAAGCGTAACGTAACGTTAAAAAAAGTGAAGACTACCCTGATATTTTGATTGATTGGATTAGGGCATTTCTCGTTTAAAACAGACAGTGTGGGACAGTATTGCAAACAAAAGTGTATTAATGCTGAAGAATTCTTACAGTGAGTGAGCTCAAACCGAGTGAATTATACTAACCAATAACGTAGTCAAGCGAGCTGACGCCAGATGACAGTAAGAGTTGTCCGTTCTGTACAGACGGTCTGGTCCCAGGGATAGAAACGAGTTTGCTGCGGGATTTTTTCTGAAAACTAGTTGTGTTGCCTATGCTGGAGGATCCAGCCATGCTTCTAACGGGAGCCGCCATGTTTTTTTCTGTTGACAGCAACGGCGACGACTCTACGGCCAATCAGCGAATGAATTGCTGTGTTCTTAGCCAATCAGAAAGAGATTTGGTCGGACTTGGTGAATGACAAATGACGCAGTGGAGTTCAAGGTTGACTGCAGCTGCGTAGTGAACATATGATCAGGAAAACAAACAGCACGCTGTCAATGGGCACGAATCAGGTAGGATTACTGTACAAATTACTATAGTGCTTATTATAATTCCATCACACATTACTGCTGTTGGTCACACTTATGTCATCCATGTTTCAAAACTGACAGCTATCTGAGCTGTAACACAAAAACCTTGCTGCCCTTGCCTTGTACTTTAGACAATACTTATGAAATGTTGTAAGCAGATTCATCACCGGTGACTGTAAAAGCTGAATCTGCCGTATCAACGGCATCGGTATATTTATTGATTAATTAATTGGACAATGAATCAAGGTGCATGCTTGCATACGTGTCAGAATCAGAATAAAGAACCATTTTTTTTTATATTTTTAATAGTATGTATCGCAATACTATTAAATATATGTAATATATATATATATATATAATACTTATATTTAGTGACTATATATAGTATGTAATATAGGCTATGTTATTTTAATGAATTTCATTCTTTTTATTGTTATTTTATTCTTCTCATGTTACAAATGAATTAATTTTTCAAATAAATACTGTTATTTTGAACCTTCTATTCAATACCACAACTGTTTTCAACATTGATCATAATAAGAAATGTTTCTTGCGCAGCAAATCAGCATATTACAATGATTTCTGAAGGATCATGTGACACTGAAGCCTGAAGTAATTATGCTGATAAAGAATACATTACATTTTAAATTGATTAAAAAATATACTGTATATTCAATTGTAATATTTCACAATATTGCTGTCTTACTGTATTTCTCATCAAATAAATTCAGCCTTGGTGAGAAAATACATCTTCCTGACCCCAAACATTTTATACACACATATACACGTTATATGTGACACATTACACGCACACCCAATACACACACACAATACACAATTCTCTGCATTGCTGTGGTAGTTTTACATAATATAAAACATACATAATAAATTAGACACAAATCAGTATTTAACATCCATATATAATAACCGTGATATTTTCCATCATAAAAGTGGGTGTCTTATCATTGATCGTTTTTATTCCTTTTTTTTTTTTCTAATTTCTGTACATAAAAATGCTACATCTCCCCTAGACAGGACCATAGTGTAACGGTGCTCTTTTTAGTTTGTCCAGATGCTGCTATCGTTTATGTTATTTTTATTATGTCAGCTTTATCAACTCCTATCTGATTGTTCCACACAGTGCTAATGCTAACAGTCATAACATGTCAAATGTTTCCTGAGCAGCTTGTTTGGGTTTCCCCAACGTGATTCTCTTTGCTACCACAATCTGAGGTTAAGAATATAGTGGCATTGCTCAGAAGGGAAGTTAGATTGTCATCTGCGGAGGGTTTGTATGCGTTAGTGTTGAAAGGAAAGCAATAATCTTGGATGCCAGGACAATTATAGGGTTGTGCTAACTATTATTTGTGACCCACAGGAAGGTCATTTTATTCTCTCCTCCAAAAACTGCATTGATCCGAATTTTTTCCAATACGAAATCAAGGATATCTATCCTGTAAAAACAAAGCAGGCTAATTGGTAGGGATGGGCATTTAAATGAATAGAAAATTGTAAGGTTTCTCTTTTACCCACAACAGAAGGCGTAACTTGGCACATCTGATAAGATCTGTTTGCCTTTCAGCTCCATCTTGGGTTCAGGCTGCAGTCAAAGGTCATTTTAATAAAGATTAGTCTTTTTATGTCACGTCATTGTTACAGAACTAGCCCGGCATCCTTTGAAATCGCTTCGCTTTTGTTCATATTTACGGGGATTGACTCTGTAATTGGCTTTATTCATTATCTGCTTTTTAAAATTCATTTGATTTCCATTGGACTGTTGTAAAAATGACGTGATTGAGGGAGATTTCCTTTTATGTCATGCGTGCTGACATCTGTCCTCCATCAACCAGCAACCAGGTGTCAACATCCCAGCTCAATCCACCAGCCTCTTTTTGATAGTTGCACTGATAGCCTCTCAATTACCAAATCTTAAAGTTCTCCGATCCATTGAGAACAAAGAGAGCAGTGCGAGGCAGGCCACCCTCAGCTGCCTTCTGTCACACAGATCAAGAACATCAGTGTTCCCCCCTCCTCATCTTCCTTCCATCTGGGTTCTCGGGGGAACGCCATCTTAGTTAACACTATTCAAATCTATGTAATCTTCTTAAGTCCCACAGAAGCTCCCAAAGTCGAGCTCCTCATGTATGTCTAAATTCAGATGTGCTGTGATAAGAAGCTGTGAAGCAAGCCTTGAGATTGGATTCCTCACTTTTTTCTACTGATTTCACACCATCCGCTGCAAATAATATTTTAAAGTTTTAAGATTTTAAACATGAAACAATTAATTTAAAATGTATCTCAGGCATATTAGTATCTTCACCAAAAAAAAGAACAAAAAAAGGTTTTAAGCCAGTTATTTATTGGCTATCTTTTGCTGTAGTGTGTCAGAAATGTCAGTTCATGTAATTATCCAGTGAGATTTTTGATTTTCTGCCGGTGCTCCACATGGCGATCTGATCTCACCGTTATCGAGTTTCTGTCTGTGATTACATGAAGAACCAGAAAAAACATGTTGGAACAACATGATGGTGAGTAATTACTGACAGAATTTAAATTTTTGGGTGAACTAACCCTTTAATGGCAAGAGGAATGCTTGGAAATGTAAACTTATATATTAATGTTAGGCTATATTATTTTGTTTTTTGCTCCATATCAGAGAGGAGCTATTTTCTGTCAATGCACTAAATGACTATTTCTGTACCATATTTTCTTGTAATAATTTTAGTTCTGAATGTCCGGCAATCATGAACAATGGCGTTAAAAAATACAGCATTGCATCGTTTCCACTGTCACCTGGGCAGCTGGGCTGCTGTTTATTTTCTTTGCTATTTCAGGAGGTCAGCGGAGTGTAAGCACATTACATGGTGGCATGGAGTCATAGTGACCTTTACACAAGTGTGACATCAGTCTCAATGCAACTGGTGTTTGCAGTTTGCACACTTTGCTTTTATACTGTACTGTAATTGACTCTTAAAGGGAAATCTTTGACTTTTACTGCAATTTTTGAAACGTGTGCCACCAAATTATATCAGCTTAGAGAGTTTTAAAAACGCAGTTGTTTTTCCAAAGTAATAAATTTATGCATAATATACTGATTGTGTACTGGTGGTGTAATTGTATTATTTTGGAAAATCAAATGTCTTAAAGGGATACTCCACTTTTTTGGAAATAGGCTAATTTTACCACTCCCCCAGAGTTAAACAGTTGAGTTTTGCCGTTTTTAAATGCATTCAGCCAATTTTCTGATATTTAGAAGAACATCAGTAACCAGACAGTTTATGGTCTCATTGACTTCCATAGTATATTTTTTTTCCTACTATGGAAGTCAATGAGACCAGATATTGTCTGGTTACTGATATTCTTCTAAATATCAGAAAATCGGCTGAAAAAAAAAAAATTGCTGATCGCTCCGGATTTAAACATTTTTGATAATGTAAGTCCACAAGTCAACAAAATATATAACATTGCTTTAGTGGTTTTTGGATATTTAAATCCAAAAATCGTACATATTGTGCTTTTAAATTATGTATGTAAACAGAATGCCAGGGATTTATGGTTTTGTTGTTGCCACTGATTCTTTCAATATTGAGAAAAAAAAAAGAAAAAAAAAAAAGAAAATCGGCTGAATGGATTTGAAAACCGTGAAACTCAACTGTTTAACTCTGGAGGAGTTTTCCAAAAAAAGTGGAGTATCCCTTTAAAGATACAATATGTAATTGTTTCCGCCGCTAGGGGCGGCTAACCTCTTGCAATCATTTTTTGCAATAAAAGGTCGATGACGCAAAATTCCAGTGGAATTATGGAACTTGTCGTCAAGCTTATGGATCTAATAATGCTTATGGATGAGTGAATACATTGATGTTTTTATCATGATTGTGGTATGAAGCAGGGCTTGATTGCTAATGAGAGACAGATATCAGCGCCACACGCGAGTCCCGCGGATATAAAGGAATAAGGACATTTAATTCTACGAAACTACCCGCAAGTGCAGAATTACTCGCACAGATCAGTTTATTTGACAAATGAAGCTTGTGAGGTAACGCAGTGCTGTTTCACTTGCTCTATACTATCAAACTAAACTGCATTTGAGTGTGTTGAAAGTTATAATGTTATTCTATGTGTTAGTTTGTTGGTAGTTTGTAGCAGTAAGCTAGATCAACATTGGAATAGCATACAGATCATATTCTAACATTTCTAGTAACGCTGTTGTCCATGTCTGTCGCCATGGTTACTGTGCTTGTACGGCACGAGAGGAAACCAGGGATATTACGTCAGATAAACCGCGGATATTACGTCAGTGACAGGTGATAAGTGAAAATTCCGGGACGGCCAATTATTTAAAATTGGAAATTCAAATTCTTTGGGAACTTTTGGGATATTGTAAGTACACAACTGCAGGAAATATCACACTGTGCAAGTGATTTTTGGATATTTTATACAAAATTTTTACGTATTGTACCTTTAACTCTGCTGTTCAGTATTATTAATAAACCAGACTTAGGCAAACATTTTAGTTTCCTCCGAAATGGTTTTGTAAGGCCAAAATGTTTAAATATCGCTTTGACTATTTTAATTTATTATTATTATTTTTTTCCTAATTTAGTTAGGTTTTGGTAAAAAAAAAATGTATTCCGGGCGGTCCATGATAATCCGGTCCATGATAATCCGGTCTATAAGGTGCGTGTTAATAAATAAGTGAATCTTTTTGCTAAAACAGATGTGCAACTGAATGGATATGAGTGTCTATATGCAGGGTCTATTAAACTATTTTGTATATTTGAACTTTTTATTTTTACTTTGCCATATTAAGTCAACACCCATGCCATGAGTTCAAGACATGATGTAACAGCTTGATTTATTTATCTAATACTCAATAAAACATTTTTTAGTTATTGTCATACTTGTTGCCAAGACAAACTGTCTAATTTTTCAGAGCAGTTTATCAGATTAAATGCTGCTAAATCAACATTGATGGCCGCTCACTCTCAAGAGATTTGTTCAATTTCAGAAGTTTGTTTTTACAACAGATTTATAGGATTAAAAGGGCATTTTAATGCCACCTGCTTCTCAGCTCTCTGGGAACCCTTTCTCCCTTCTGTTGCATTATGGGTTTTGGGGGTCCGGGGCCACAGATGGCTCTCCAGAGATGCTCTATGTGACTCTGTGTTGCAAATACATATATATACATTGTACTGTGTAATCCTGGATTAAGGGGAGACTTGGAGTTAATTATCCAATTGTAAGATACAATTCATTTTGGTCCGTCACTTCCCCGTCTAGGAAATCATGTGGCAGATAGTGCTTGTTCCGAACACACATGGGAATATTCAAAAATAGAGATTTAATCTCAATTGTCTGAAGGTCTGTTTGATTTTGGCTAAACTCCATTTGATTTCAAGCAGCTGACTCACCCAGTCTCTCGCACACACACACACACACACAGGGTGCCTGTGGAAAACCAGGCGGCCGCATATGGACTGTCTCTTGATATCATTCACTGGCCGTGTAATCTTATTATGCTAAATCCTTAATCCTCACCTATGCTGGACGCCCACAACAGTGACGTGCTGGTGATTGGACGACTAGACGGTAGTTGGGGATGCTGCGTTCTCCGCAACACATTCTGCCGAGCCGATCTATGAGTCTCTTAGGGTCAAGACAATGAAAGATAGAGCCAATCACAATAAAGTAAAATGATGGACAGAACTATAAGGAATTTTTCTGGATCAACATGCTTTGTTGTTAACAGATTCTGAATCATGTCGGGTCGAGTCGACCTGTTGTCTATTGTTTAATGTTTTATATCTGTTCAAAAGTTTTTTGTTATATTTTTGAAAGAAGACCCATATGCTCACTAAGTTAAAACGGTAATATTGCAAAAATGATTACAATTTAAAATAAATGTTTTCTAATTTAATTTATTTTAAAATGTAATTTTCGTCAATGCAATACTGAGTGCATGAATCCCATGATCCTTCAGAAATCATGAAACTTTTTTTTATTGTCAATGCTTCAAAAAAATCATAAATCAAAAAGAACAGCATTTAAAAAAGAAATATTTTGTATACTATCACGCATGTTTAATATAATACCCTTGAAAAGTTACGTCTTTTAAATCAAAGTCTTGGAAATTTACTGTAAAACTACATGAAATGTCCCATTAGATTTATTACAGTAACTTACGAATGACCCGTATTTACTCTAGAATTTACTATTAAAATTATTATAACCGTTTTGTCCCAAAAGATGCACTTTATAACGAGCATAGCGATTTAAAAGCAAAGCGTACTTTATAGTTTAGGCAGATAATATGTGCCCACTATCAATTGGCAGGGAAAACGGCCCAGAAACAATAGTTTGTTCGCCCCACCCTGGAGTTTGATAAGCAAAACAACAGCTGGCCCTTTCACTGCCTCCCTGAGACTACATCCAGTCAGGCAGAAACATCCCTGGACGGAGGGGGCTTTCGGGTAGAAGAGCTAACTCTCGTACACCGTGTTTGTGTTGGGGGTATCCGACGTAATTATGAGGATTCAAAGGTGTGGATTCAATGTCTGACCGGAATGGATTGAAAGGGGTGTCGGGGACGGAGGTATGGGGCTGGTGGGTAATGGGATTAGGTGTAGCACTTTCCATGACACATGGAGACAGACACCTGACACTTGGCCTGGGACTGAGATGGAGGAAGTAGGGGACAGAGGGATTAATTCCGCCCCATATTGGAGATGTCATTCCCGAGGCAATAGGGGCTTTTCGGATAGGGCTCGGTTTCGTTTGGTTTCTGCTCGGCCGGGTCGCCTTAATTCCTTTGGTTTGCTTCAGGAGAAAAGATTGAGGTTTATCCTTCATTGGACATCCAGCGCGGTTGTTCTTTTGAAGATTCGTTTTCTAATTGCACATTTTTAGAGTTCCTTGTTATGAACCAGCATGTAAACCGACAAACGGCACGCTGATCTTTTGAGCTGTTTATCTGTCAAGCGAGGTTTCATGGATGTGTACAAACATCCAAACATGACCTTTATTGACTCACGCACCCTGCTAGCTTGATGGCCAAGGAAAAGTCAATAGTTTGAGTGAGGATGGACTGTTTATTCAGACAACGCACCACAGTTTTATCAGTTAAAGAGCCAGGGTGCGAGGACAAACAAAGGACCTTGTGTTCTGTTGCTATGGCCATATAGCGTAACTCTTTTTTTTTTTTTTTCTTTTTTGAGTTCGAGGAGATGAACCTGTCCCCGCAAGCGCTGTCACCTGCTCCCACAGGTGTAGATTGGGTTGTTTCAGACAGGGTCAGATGCCCAACCCTTCAACAAGGCACAAAGAGCGACCTTTGTGCCTTGTTGATGGGTTGTAGAGGCTACTGAGAATGAAACACCATCTCTAATGATCACTTTGGTTTCACAGTTTTAACCGTTAGCGTTAAACGTGTGAGGTGCATTTCCCCACCAACACCACCTCAGTGACAAAGTGTTTAAAAGCCACTTTCGACCCTCTGGCAAATGTGACGTCAGTTTTTGGCACGGAGTGAGATTTCCAATTGAGAATTTCCATGCAAATTTTCGGTTTTCATCGTGAGTCACGGTGTAGCGGTTAAAGCTCCAGAGCTATGGTGCTCTTTAGGTTAATATAGTCAACTAATGATCCGATCAAATTTGTCACAATCTAAATTTGGGATTTAATTCATGTGTCTTGATTGAAAGCTCCATACATGAAGAGTTCAGATGCAAAAGCCTCTAAATGCCATTTGAAATTTTCTTCTTTAATGATGATTTTTATCAAACTTGTATATTTAAGTTCAGTAATTTGACTTAAATAACAATTAATAGGTAATTATCATTGCCATTTAAGTGAAATCACTGAACTTAAATATACAAGTTTGATAAAAATTATCATTAAAGAAGAAAATTCAAATGGCATTTAGAGGCTTTTGCATCTGAACTCTTCACATATTATTTCTATACTACTGTAAAAAAATATTTTCATGATTTGTAATCACATTTTTTCTTTTGTCAAATCAACTTAAATAATTTATGTAGTTCAGATAACATAATATTTTGAGTTTCTGATGGTTAAATCAATCTCCTTCATTGTATTAACTCAATTTTTCCATTTCAAGGAACTTAAAATTTTAAGGCAACCAAGTTACTTCATTTTTTAAGTTAAACCAACAATATTTTTTTTGTAGTGTAGTATTTATTAATTTTAATTTGCATTTATTTTTTATATTTTCAAATAAAGATTAGTTTAGTTCACCCAAAAAATGAAAATGTTGTCATAATTTACTCTCCCTGAAGTTGTTTTAAACCTGTATGAGACACAAAAGATGATATTTTAAAGAATGTTGGTAACCAGACAGTTGACAGTAGCTTGTGACTTCCTTAGTATTTTGTTTTTCCTACTATGGAAGTCGATGGATGCCGTCAACTGTTTGGTTCTTTAAAATTTTGTTTAGAATAAACAGAATAAAAAAATAATTAATTCTTATTTTTTGTTTTTCATCTATTCCTTTAAATTATTTTTATTAGTTTGTGTTTTTCATCTAATGTTTTATTGGTAACACTTTACAATTAGGTCCTTTTAGTTATAACATTAGTTCATTAACTAAAAATGAGCAATACATTTGTTAACATATATTACTCTTTGTTAACATTGGGTAAATCAAATACAACTAATCATTGTTAGCTCAAATCCATTAAATAATTTATTTTATTTTTTTATTAATTTTATTAATTTATTAGTACATTTTTAAATGTTCGTTAAGATTAATAAAGGGTTTAAGACTTTTCTAAATTTCTAAATCTTTTTACAATCCTAAAAAAAATATTATCGTTTTATTTTACAGCTTTATTTTAATTACTGAGAATAATTTTAAGTTACCAATAACAACACTGCCATACATAAGCATGTGCTATTTTTTAATAAGATTTAATAAAACCGACTAGTGAACAAACCAGTTCAACTAACCGTTCGGAAAGCTCATAACTACAAAATTTTGAAAATGCTCAAATTTGCACATGCTTTATTCTTATGCATAATAATGCATTATTCTTATGTATAAGGGTGATAATTGAACATTAACAACTCAAAAAAAGTAAAAATTTGCATGGATGAATCGTTCACAATAAGATGCATTTAGAACATAGATTTACATTTGACATACAACTTCTCTTTTCCATTTCCACTCCGCTAATTTCTTGTCACTATTCATGAAAACGAAATTTAATTTTTAATCTCAGACTTTAACTTTCATCAACCTGGTTTAGAACTCGAAGGAAATCAGTAAACGTGCTCAAATCTCTCCTGCATGACAATATTAATGTTGGTTGTGAATGATTATTTTTAAATATAGACTCTTTTTTGTTTATTTCAGCATTTCTGAGGAGTGACATGATGTTTCGTGGTTTCTTCGTGAAGACCGTTAGCTTTGTTGGTTACACCGTCCAGTATGGCTGCATCGCTCACTGTGCCTTTGAGTATATTGGTGAATTTGTGTCGGTAAGTTTCTTGGAGATATTTAGTCAAATCATTGGGTGAAACAGACAAATAAATACATATAAATGCTTAATTCTACCCACAATTCACCTACTGTACAACAGTGTTCAGGACCGTCCATGGAACCCACCATCACTAACCACAATGTGGTTTTCTCAGAACGAATAAGCCGCCACCTCTGTCGAATACAAAAGTGAGTGTGTATGAAATGCTTACTTTAGTGTTTATTTTAAAGTGATATTTTGATCATACCTTCGTTTTTTATCCTCCTTCTTCCAGAGGGGACATTGTAATAGCCAAAAGTCCTTTTGATCCGAAGATGAACATCTGTAAAAGAGTGATTGGACTGGAGGGGGACAAAGTCTGCACCAGTGGACCATCTGATATCTTTAAAACACACACTTACGTGAGTACCTACTGTTGTGCACTGACATGAGCTCTGCCTTCAAAATGCATAGACACTTTCTGACATCTTCAACTACATTTTTGTCTTCTTTTAGTATGAACCACTGCGTTTACTCTAAAGGTGTATGCATTTGAATTTCACATGCATTCACGTCCATTGGGTAAAACGTTTACCTTGTGGAAGAAACAAATGCTTGTTTCTCAGTTATTATTGGTCTAGAGAGAGCATAGCCACCTTTTCACTGAAATAGCTGTTATTGCTTTTTGGTACCACTTGTTTTTCTTTCTTTTTTTTCACCTTGCCTGTGTGCGGTTCTGGCCTGTAATTTTTCCCGAAGCTGTTAGTGTTAGTGACAGATGAGTAGAGCAAGTGATGAAGAGAAAAAGAAAGGCCTGTCACTGGAGTCCTTTAAGGTAAAGAGAGACAAACCCTCAGCTGAAAAAGGTTGTAGAAGTTTGCTCGGTCGCTCAGTGCTAGTCAAACCTAAACCGATTACAATGACAATTTAGTGAATTGCAGAACAATGACTAGGCATCAATGTTCTGATACTTTTTCTTCTCCTTTTAAAATCTAAGATTAAAGTTTGAAATTCTCCCATTGAGAATGCTATGCAAAATTAACTTAAAATTAATTAATTGCGATTGGTCTTCTGATTTGCATTCTGATTGCATAATTATAATGCCTCATGGCCATTTTGTCTTTTACTGCATTTTTGTTGCAAGGTCACAGTTGTTGTTTTATGTTGATTCTTATAGCAAGCTGACAGAAAACACAAAACTAATGCTAATATAGTCAAATCTGTCTCTTTGTGGTATCTTGTAAACGTTTTAGTTAAAAAAAGACGCTTGGCAAGTAAATACTACCTTCAGTATGACAGGATGATTTGTTTGTTTCTGTATATAAAATGCCTTTGGGAAAGTAAAGGATTTGTCGATCAAAGATAGAAGGCTAATTACTGATCTTTGGAAGCTGTTTTTCACAGCATGTCTCCAAAACCACAATATGTTAATAGGTGAGACCTACAGTATAAACAGAGGAAAATGTGTGATCGTGTTTAGTAGAGAGCTGTTAGCAAAGTTAGCATGCAGCCAGCAACCAATTAGCATGCTAAGCTAACTAACATAAGACAACAAACAAGGTCAACTTCGGAGAGGTATTTCTCAGAAACAATAGTGAATATCCGTTCAATATCCGTCATTTTTGTGCGTCAATATCAGTCGATATCAAATTTAGTCAATATCAAATTTGGATAAAATTGGACAAACAGTTTTTCGTTTAATTTAATATGGCAGACAGGCATGTCAAAATGTCAAATGAGATCTTGTCTGAATCGGCATATGCAGGGAAACAAAAGGACATCATTTGGATAATGTTTTCAAAACTTAGGCTGTGTGTCCACCAAAGCGTTTTTCCACGCCCCTGGCGTATGTTTTCAATTGTTTTCAATGGGAGCGCCGCGTTTTTTAAACGCCATGAGCGTACCAAGGCGCTGAGGTTTTTTTTCACGCTGAAGCGCCGAGCGTCCAGCGTTTTTACTGGTCGCTGGGAGTTGAAAAATGTTCAACTTTGGATAAAACGCAGCGCTCATCACTGTCACATTTTACCAAGCCGTCCAATCACAGGGGAGGAGAGGCGGGACTAAACCACACCGACCAACTGTCACATTATTCAAACTGCTGTGGATATTCTGTATCATAGCAATGAAACGTCTCAACAGAAAAAAAGCTGCGCTGCCAAAACGCTCTCAAGCGCCCAAAGCACGGCATCTTCAGCAGAGCGTCTAGCGTTTTCAGCAGGCTAAAAACGCTTTGGTGGACACACAGCCTTATGTTTTTTTGCAAAAATGCTTATATCTCTGGAACACTAGGTGGAGCTGAACTTCTCAGGTACCTTCAGGACATCCTCTCAACAATCCCTATCTAATATTGTTTGATTTTCGATACTCTATATCAAATCAATAAAAAAAATATTGCAATTTATGACAAAATTCGAAATGGCGAACCAATGGTTCATCCGTTCCTGGCAAAATCAGCTCCTTTAGGGCTCGAAAAATCATTTTGGTATTTTGTCATGGGAACAAGAGTGATGTGGACATCTGGTTTGGCCTAGCCTGGGAAAACCCAGACAACTTCCGGCAAATTTAGATTTGCTCTGAAAGTTAGTCTGGCAAAGAGCTCATTCAAGCCCATTTCCGATGAAATCGCGGCACCAATCAGAAACGTCGAGGCGGGCTTTACACGATGAGCACTGGGATTTTGAAGCCTACATTACAAAGATGGATGCCGCCGTCAAACATCACTCGTTCAAATCAGCTATCGCGTCTGTTTTAAGCGAATTGAACGTTTCCTTTTTGTTAAAAACCGAGCAAAGAACAACACTCTCCGCCGGCCGCCGCTCTGCATACGTCATCTCCTTCATCGCTCTGATTGGTTTTAGGTCTACCCGCGACGTCCGTTGGTGACGCCCCTCTGGAAATGATTTGTCTATGATGCCATGCCAGACCATAACTCAGTTAAAACTGATAATGGTCTGGTTTTAACCAGGCTAGGGCTTTAACCGGTACTCTATTCAGTTACCAAAAAAAAAAAAAAAAAAATGTTGTAGTTAAACAAAGTTTGGAAAGCAAGCAAAGATCAGACAAGCCCTATACTAATTTACATTAGTTGTAGAGGTGTTTTGTTGACCAGAATCAAGATGTTTCTAACATATCTCCCATTTGTATGATCGAATGCAGGGTTGTCAACATTTGTGTCTGGTCACAGTATGGTGTGAAGTCTCGCATGCTTGGCTGACAGATAGGACAAAAGCTTCGCTTCTGAACAGCAGATGACGACGGGCTGAGATTTCTTGTGGATGGGATCAAACATATGTTTGCATGCTAATGAGAGTCGACTGCAAGACGAATACACACTGGCGTATCGGTTCTTTTCGCATTTGTCAATGACGAGTTTGTTTGCAATACAGAAGGTCAGCAAATCATTTTGGAAGTCATGTTTGTTTTTGAAGCATGAAACGGCTTTGTTAGATATCCGGTGTGACCGTAAGTACGCTTTCTTAACAGTGGAGCACATTAAATCCTATTGTGTGGAAATCTTCGTATGATTATTTGGAGGGGAGGGTATAAGAATTCTTATTAAAGTTATGTTTATAATGACAACGTGATGTGTTGTTCACCCTCGCCTCACATAGAGAGGGGGTGTAGGGGACTTAATTAGGGGCTTGACAGCCCCACTCTCCCTGTATGATGAGATTATTCCTAATTGATGTCAGTGTGGATCAGGATTCGCTCGGTTGCCGGCCCAGCCTGGCAGGTCTGTCCGTGGTCTAGACCCATGGAGCAGCTCATGGAGGCGTGGCTTCACCCCTAACCGAGAGGATAAGGGGGGGTTGGGTGCGAGGCCCCAGCGGTCAGTAAAAATGATCCCATTCCCATCTGAGATGAGCAGTTAAGTCATGTGAACTTTCTCACTGTTAGGAACTAATCCGGGAGAACCAATATTGTGCGTTGCATGTGCAGCATGAGTCAAAGGATCCTTTTAGACCTCATTTTTGGTGTGGCTGCAATCCGAATAAATCGTTTTAATTTTTTGTTAGATTTATGATTTAACCCTAAAACCGTATTCTGGACAAATGTGGGCAAAATAGTTTTGATTTATTTTTTTTAAAAATACTTCCCTTGATCTGAGCGGTACAAGACTTGGCTACTTGTCCTAAGTTTGCCTCCTGAACACACACAATTTTTTTTTTTACTCAATTCTACAACGTTAAGTGGGTGAAAAAGAAAAACTCTTTGAGGTTACACTTTATTTTGAAAGTCACTTTAGACAGTCTACTAACTATAAGTAACTTTTCAACTACATGTCAACCAAGACATGTCATTAGAGTATTAGTAGGCTGTAGTAGACTGTCACTAGACTGTTAGGTTAGGGTTAGGTGTTCATTTTATTCTAAATGGTTTTAATTTACTGTATTTTATTTTTATCATAATTTTTATTTTTCATTATTTCTTATTTTTTTATTCTAAACTGTTTTAATTATTCTGATTTCTTTTGATTATTTTAATTTCTTCTATGTAAAGCACTTTGAATTGCCATCGTGTATGAAATGTGCTATATAAATAAACTTGCCTTGCCTTGCCTTGCCTAGGGTTCAGGTTAGGAGAACAAGTTGACTTATAGTTGCTAAGTTACTTACAGTCAGTTGAATGTCTGTTGGGGGACCAACAAAATAATGTGTTAGCAGATATTAAGCTGACAGTCTACTAATACTCTAATGATAGTTAGTTGACATGTAGTGGCAAAGTTACTTATAGTTAGTTGAATGTCTAAAGTGGACTATCAAAATAAAGTGTTACCCTCTTTTATTTTGGTCAAAAATGGGCACCCATAGAAATGAATGGGAAAACTGTAATTTAGAGCATTAAAATAAGCCAAAATAAGACACCAGGTGACCGCAAAGTCACTTCATCTTTAGGTTTTAGCTCTAAGAGCTTATTGGAATGATATTTTAATGTAGTTAAAAAAAATCAAAAAATAAAACTACATAGTAATTAATTTACATAGAAAATATGGTACTTTTTGAAGTAAATAAATTCAAAAAATACCCCCAAAATAAAAAAAACACCATAAATGGATAGACAAAACTTTATCGAAGACAGTGATATAACATTGATAATAAATAAAAATTAGGATCACGCCTGTGTCCTCTGTGCCCATATTTGTCCACAATTACAGGATTAAGGGCTATAAAGTGAATACGGTTTGAGGGCTACCATTTTGCTCTTCCCATCTTGCTGTAATCTAGGTACCAAGAGGGCATGTGTGGCTGGAAGGCGATAACCTTCGCAATTCCACAGATTCCCGAAGCTATGGCCCAATTCCCTATGCCTTGATCCGAGGACGTGTTTGCTTAAAGGTAATGAGGATACAGTCTTGTTTCTTGACCTATATGCTTCCCTAAAGGCCAAACCTCAAGCTTTTTGAGTTTTGAACTGTTGCCATTTTATGTTGTTGTTTTTTCTTCTTCTTCATGCGAGGTATTGTTTTTCCACAAACAAGAAATACAAATGATCCTTTCCGAATTTCACTTTCATTGTAAATAGAAATAAATTATTACATAGTACTAGGGTTATCCAGTAACTAGCTAAAAGATTGTGTGCCGTCTTCATTTGAAACTGTTTTCAGCTGTCGTCTCATATAGCATCATGTGCCCATGACCCTGTAAACAGGTCTCCTCACCTTCTGTCAGCCCTTGATTGGAAACTCAAAGGCAAATGATACAGGGCTGTTTTTTTCTTACAGGGTCTTATAAGGAAAAGGTGTTGTTTCTGCACTAGATTAATGCTATATTTAATCTAATTTAATTTAATATGAACTGTTTCATTTAATATGAAATTAAATAATTGATTTCATGTTTTTGTTTTGCTGTGCTTTTATTTTGCAGTTGTGGCCACCTCATAGTTTTGGCGTATTGGCCGAAAGTCCAAATGACGGGCGCATTTTATGAAGAAGCCATGTTCATGTAGTCACAATGTAAATTATATATTTTTTTGGTGTTTTAAAATAAATTCTTATTTATAATTATTGTCGGTTTCATCGTTTAAGTCAAACAAGGATTTATGATAGTGAAGCAACACAAATGCATCATATCACCTACATCAAGAAGATCTGTTAATGTTTCAAATGGGGATTACAGACTTGTGTTGTTTTTATTCATCACAAGTGCAGATGACTCATTGTTACACTGAAATTTCATTTTTGCATGGAATTACTTAGGCAAATATGTTAATTTATAACTTTTGGTCAGTTTCCGGAACACATTTAGCTGTTGTTGAGGGACAGGGGTGCTTTTAAGAGTTTTTAAATAGTCTGTAAAATAACAGCATATGACTGTACTGTATATAGAAATCTCCATTTTGATTGACGATGCCCTTTTCCACTTTCTGGGTAAAAAATAAATAAATAAATAAACTATAAATAATAAATTAAAATATTTCTCATACGTCTCATATTCTCATTCTTTCTCATATTCTCATGAGGAACATAGTGTGACCTAACATCCAATGTGACTATTTCTTATTTTAAAGGGATAGTTCTCTTTGAAATTAAATGTTGGTATGTTTTAGCTTACCTCAAGGGCATCCAAGATGTAGGTGTCTTTGTTTCCACAGTAGTTTCGATTTTGATATTTTTAGGTCAAACAGTTCTTGTCTGTCAGTCATATAATGGAGGTCTATGGTCACCACCTCACAGAGAAGTCCAAATTAAACATGATTTAATGACTCGTAAATGTAAGTACACATTGATGACCTAAGACACGAAACGAGCGGTTTATGTGAGAAAATGGACAGTATTTATATCGTTTTTACCTCTTGTAACCACAGCCACATCCAAGTGATGTGAGGGCGCGGGCGCTTCGGTCAGCGCAAGCGCCTGAAGTGATCTCTCATGCGGTTGCAAAAAAAATTCAACGCTGTCTGTTTTCGATATATCGAAATCATCTTCCATTGCGATTTCCTATATCTAAATATGTTTAGATCTTCACAGTGAAAGGTAACACTTCCGAAATCTCTGTGTAAACAATAAGTGACGTACACGCGAAAGACCAAAGCACCCGCGCCCTCAGATTAGATGTGGCTGTGGTTACAAGAGGTAAAAACTAAAAATACTGTTCGTTTCCTCACACAAACCGCTCGTTTCGTGTCTTAGGCCATCAATGTGTACTTACATTTACGAGTTATTAAATCATGTTTAATTTGGACTTCTCTGTGCATGCTCTTTGAGGTGGTGACCATAGACCTCCATTATATGACTGACAGACAAGAACGGTTTGACCTAAAAATATCAAAATGGAAACTACTGTGGAAACAAAGACACCTACATCTTGGATGCCCTTGAGGTAAGCTAAAACATACCAAAAATTAATTTCAAAGTGAACTATCCCTTCAAACCCACAATTACCAGTTTTTTTTTTCTTTTGTTAGCCAGTAACAGGCTTCCAAATTATTCCATATGCAGTTGTGTGGTATAAATATTACATATGCTATGTTGGCATTATCATTTGACCTGGATTTTGTTGACCTGTTACAAAAGCATAATTGAAAAGAAAGGAAAGCATTTTTATATGCACTTATTTTTGCTCTTTGTCTTTAAGAGGGCAAAACTGGCTTTATTTTGTCCACTTTAGACATTCTAGTAACTATAAGAAACTATGTCAACTAATTTAGTAATGCTGTTAGTAGACTGTTAGGGTTTGAAGAATAAGTTAACATACTTGCAAAGTGACATAGTCAGTTGAATGTCTGTTGGGGAGCATCAATATAAAGTGTTAGCAGATATCAAGCAGACACACTCTAATGACCGCTAGTTGACTTGTAGTTGCAAAGTTAGTAGTGGACAATCAAAATTAAGTGTTACCGAAAAACCTCTAAAGACAGATGCTTGTTTTCACTGTTCTCAACCTTATATTCTCAGTGTAACTACCCTTAGAGGATTTAGTTTAGTGTTTGAAGCATCATAGTATGGGTTTAAGCACACCTGGAATGTGATTCACTATCAAAGGTAATGATTAATAAACTTAATCATAATTAAAGTCCAAAGAGAGACGTCTACACTCCCTCCTCAAAGACAAACTCCCTCAGTAGCCCTTTCTTCTTTTTCAGTGTGTTTATTGGTGTGTTTGAATGTGTGCATTTAAGGTAATGAGAAATTGACGTCCTTCTTTCAAAGCAAAATGTGTCTTTCTTTAATCAAGGTTTTTAATTAAAACTTCACAGCCTCATTTGATGTCAACGCAGGATGAGTCTGTCTTCGGATGATGCTGGCTGACATCAAACACAAATGTGAGACGGCGGTCACGATTTCTTTTCAGTAACGTGGCCGTTTGCATTGGATGAGCCTCTTAATTTGGCTGAAACTTGATTTGTGTGCTGATCTAAAGTCAGATTTGTGGTTTCTGTTGTTGTGGTTGAGATTGAGGTTTGTGGAAAGGGAATTTGATCTTAGATCAGTTCAAAAGGGAAACTTCTGCCAACATAGGATTTTCTCCCCGGTGGATCCATACCAGACAGATGGCATTGAGGGGGAGACGGACCATTGCCAGCGGCACCAAGTGTGATGTCTGTTGTGATCAGACCCGTGAGGATAATCGATAGATAAACCCTTTGGTTTAAAAATGTGAACCAGGCTTCCGAATTATTGTCAAAAACATAAAAGCAAAACAGAATGCCAGTTGCAAACACATTTCCTGATGTTAACTGAGAGTCTTTGTGAAGAAATTAAAAATATGTTTACAAACGCTCACTATAGTAACCCAACATTTGGGTTTGTCCATATTTGACCCAAATTTGGGTTGAAACAACCCAGCATTTTTTAAAGTGTGCACATCCAATGGCGCGAGGGCGTTTCAGAGGTGCGACCAATGAACTTAGCCCAACGTCATTACGCGATCTTCAGTCTTCACGTACCTTCGCGGGGTTTCAGACACGTTATACGACTTCCACCAATCAGATGAATCACTGTGGGATTGTGGGATTGTTCAGGAATGTGAGTAATGAAGTACTTATCCAATACATCGCGAATAAAAAGGCATTTATCTTAAAACAAGGTTAGTGCCCCATGAACTTTTGCCGTTTATATGAGCATAATACAATCACTTAGTACAGCCATTGCTGGTTTTAAGTCTACCATGTATGGTTACGTTTTAATGGCTTATATCCCAACTGTCAATGGAGAAATTGTATTGAATTTTTACTGTGGGCGGGACTGTGATGCTCTATTAACAGCTGCAGTATACATAGTTCCCACATGACGTCACAACATACGGGCATTTGCCGATCCGGCGCCATTGCTGAGGGCAAAACATTAGAAGAAGCAATACGACTTGAACGAAGTGAAATGAGTTTCGTGCTATAAAGTGAAAATGGTCATCTCCTGCTGGGTCAATGGATGATAAAATCGTGCCGGAGGTTCAGTTAAATCGGGATTTTACACTATACCCGTCATTAGACTCCGTATGGATGAAGCTTTTGTCCGAACAACGACGGAGATTATGGCTGGCGAGCATAAACAGGAAAGAAACTCGCTCAAAACACGCAAGAATTTGTTTGACAAAAGCACAATGTTGTGTTTTATTGCTAGTGTAAACAAATATAAGTTAACACATTGCAGTTTGAATAATGTCCTGTATGAACTAAATGACGAGGTATTAAAAACATACAAAACAACATTGTTTCCACTGTTTGATCTCACATTCCAGCATTGCAATCTCAGATTATGTCCCTAAAGATCCCGCGTATAATGTAGTTCCGCATTACATTAATTAAATTGCACGCAAGTTATTTATTTTTATATTCATGCACCGAACCATGATGCCCGCAAGTACATGCATATTACAGAAAGCACCGGTAACTGTTTTAAGGGGAACATGGGAATTAACTTGTGCAGGCTATGGCTTTTTAATAGACAGATTAGCATCATGCTACTTCGCTATGATGACTAAGTTACTTTTCCATCGATTGCACTTGAGCAAACGTCACCAAACCAACCCCACGTCAATCTGATCGTACACCTCCAGTGTTTTCCAGGCTCAGAATTGCTTACATGTGTAAAAACTCCTCACCAATACCAGATAATGGTACACATGAAAATACTGTATCTGAGGCAAAGTTGCATAATCAGTGCTCAGTGCTTCCTTCGTTACTGCATACGGATCCACACCATTTATGAATGAAATTTTTGCATTGTAGCTCTCTCTGTCTTCATGATTTGCATAACAATATAAACAGAAATAAATATTTGTTTGTAAAACGACATTCTCTGATAAAACTTTGTAAACGCCTATGGTAAACACAGCGGTTTTGCCCTCAAAGATGGCGTCTCCGGGGAGGTCACGTGACATTAATTCGCCTGTGGGAACTATGTATTGTAACAATGGCTCCCGTTCACACATGACAACCAATCAGGAAACAACTCAGTGGGGATTGACACGAACTTTCTTGATGATCTCATTTCTCAGAGTCGAGGCAACCTCCTTCAGAAGAGCACAACAGCAGCGTGGAGCCGCTCTGAGGTCTGTGGTGTGAGTTTGTAGTTTGGGACTGCCATCGCTGTGTGGAATTGTCCTCATGCCACAGGCATTCAACACTATTACTGTCGCTCTCCTCGACTAATAGTGGCAAGAGTGCTGGGGAGAACACTGAACACTCTTAATGGAGGGCAAAGGAACATTTTCCCCAAGGCCTGGAGACATGGGCAGGGGGCGAGGTGGGAAGGAAAAAGGGGCAAAAGACCCATCACTTTGTGTAAAGGCAGGCTGATTCTGACAGTCCTGACCCACATACCCCCCGTGGGTCTGCAAGCACTCTTGCTCAATGAATGCAATTTTTGAGGAACAAGAGTTATAAAACAATGACTCCGAACAGGGTTTGTCTTCAGACTTTGTCCTCTTGATGCTTCTTAGTTCACTATACTTCAATGTGTCAAATGTGGTTTTCGTCTTTGATTGGAGCTAACACCAATCAAGCACCACCTCAAATCCTCCAAAAAACTGATATTTACATAACTTTGGGGATTTCCAAAGAATGG